AGGAATCTTACTGCAGGTAAAGGCACAGCTGCAGTGAGAGAGAGGCAGTGGGCAGAGAGGGACAGAAGTTGCTCTAAGAGATATTCTTGCTAATCCCTCTTCCCACTCTCACTCTGCAGCACTAAACTTTCCTCCAACTGAAACATTTTTCCTCAGTTATTATTGGAGAGCAGAAGGCGCGAGAGTTTGTTCGCACTTCTGTTGGAAGGAGCAAACATCTCATTTTAATCCTGAATATTATTTACAGGTTTGAAACTCCAATATTATATGATATTATTTTTGCTACTGAACAAAGTAATGGATGCATTCAGAGCATTTGAAAATGGGTCGCTCTTGCCCAGTTACTTTGCTCCTGCCAGATGGGATCCCTTCCGCCGTCCCTTGGACTCCATCCAGCCCTGGCAATTCAGGCTTCTGGCAGCAGTAATGTTGTTGGTGACCTCCCTGTCACTTGCTGAGAACCTGGCTGTAATCCTGGTAACTTGTAAGTTCAAGCAATTGAGACAACCTGTCAATTATATTATAGTCAATTTGTCTGTGGCTGATTTCCTGGTCTCACTGACTGGTGGTACCATCAGCTTTTTAACAAATCTAAAAGGTTATTTTTTTATGGGATACTGGACTTGCGTGTTGGAAGGATTTGCTGTCACATTTTTCGGTAAGCTTGATTTTGTTTGTAGTTTTATGTTCTTTTTTTTCAACTTCCTTCAGTGTATTCTACTGTAGCTTCCCAAGTCACTGAATTTGCATGCCTTTGAATTCACCGGTATTTTCCCCTGTTATGTATTCTGTAGTGGAGAGTGAAAAATATGTCTCTCTATCCCTGTCATGTACATGGCCTGTTGCATGTGTAGTGATCATTGAATGTGTTTCACAGAATGAGGGAAAGCTTTCCAATAGAATAGCAGTGCTGTGGGGCTTATGGTAAAACAATTTCAGGAAAAAAGTCCTGAATAGCTATTTTCGATATTTGTATTTAGGTGTGTGCATATATGGATAAATAAGAGAGAGAGAAAAAGAGTGAGTGGCTGCCCATAAACTGTGGAAAATCTCAGGGCACAGAACATCTTGTGTTCTCTGTGCTCCAGGGGCTCTGAGGAGTGGGGACACACCTGTAACAGTCAGTCTGCACACCAACACCTTTTTGTGATTTTTTTTCATGGCTTTGTTCACTTACTACAAAAAAATATTAGAAGTACTCTAAGAGGAAAAATCCTCACCACAGAGTAGCCCGTGTAAATACACCTCTGCAGAGTAAACAGGATATTAGTTTAGAACAGGGCATCTACTCACTCATTCCTGTGTCCTGTCGCTGTCTCTGAAGCTGCATGGAGACAGCCAGCAATGCTTGTCCCTGCTCTAAATCACACAGTGCTGATCCTCAGCCTGAAAAGGAGTCCCAGAGCTGCTCTCTGCCTGTCTGAGCTACACAGAGGGAATGGCACTGAGGGACAATGCTTCTACATCAGTTTGTGGCACATAAGCTCTGTCCTATGGAGAAGGATCAGGCTATTTCAAGATTTTGGTGAAATCTTGAAATTTCACTAAATTTCAAGGTAATATGTGCCTAAATTGATTATTTGGTGTTGTGGACACCTGTCTGCAGGTTTGAGTTTTCTGATAGCCTGAAATAGTTTCTGAAATAATTTTTGCAAAGACAATATTTTGAAGATTTTAGTTAATTAATTTGGATGCTACACATAATACGCAGCTTTTCAGTGCAGAACTAAAAGTGCAAGTCCTAATCACTTAACTGGCCTGATTAGCTGCTTGGTTTTGTAGCCCTTATACTGTAAACTGGCAAACTGGACAAACATGAAATGCTCTTCATTAAGTATTAGAAGAATACACATTAATTGCTCATCCTTTCATAACTTGTGTTGATAGAAAAGGTGTCTGATGTTGTGGGTAGTCAAAGAGTGTAAGTGGTTGCCCAGAGTTGTTGCAGTCTCCATCTCCAAAGATACTCAAAACCCAGCTGGACTTGGTCCTGAACAACCTACCAGATGGCTGAGGGGGTGTGATGAGCTCCAGAGATGCTTTTCAAAATAAGCAGTTTGGGGATTCTGTGATTTGGGATGGTGTTTGCTGTTCAGGGATGCACCCACATTTGATGCTGGCTGTGTTCTCTTGCTGCAGGCATTGCAGCTCTCTGGTCCCTTGCTCTGCTGGCCTTCGAGCGGTACATTGTGATCTGCCGCCCCCTGAGAAATGCGCGCTTGAGGGGGAGGCACGCAGCTCTAGGCATCGTCTTTGTGTGGAGCTTCTCCTTCATTTGGACCATTCCACCAACAGTTGGCTGGAGCAGTTACACCCCCAGTAAGATTGGAACTACTTGTGAGCCTAACTGGTAAGGCCACTGTCACAGAGTATGGTAAAAAAAATGAAACTTGCAGTTCAGGATGCCTAAGGGCCAGGAATTTAAAGGAAAGGGTTAAAGATTATGTAAATCTCTGAAAAAAATCAGATGTAAAGGAAGTTGTAATAAAACAGATCAAAATTTTCTGTGATCAGCTTCTAAAACAAAAAAATTTAAAGGGTGGAGCCTCCATCTCTAATGCAAATAATCACTCTAGACCTTATGCTTTTTGTCAGGAGTCAAAGGACAAAGAGATGGATTTTTTTTTTCAGAAGAACTGGACAAAGCGCTGAGCCAGCTAGTGTGACCCCATAGCTGGCTCTGCTTGGAGCAGGGTGTTGGACTGCGTGTCCCCTCCCATGTAATGAGCTCCACAGTTCCCTCGTGCTGGCCCTGCAGCTGCAGGATCCCCTCCAAGCCCCTGGGCAGGAGATGGCCCAGGGCTCCCTCTGGGGATATGACTGCAGCTGTGAAGGGGCATTTTGAATAAAAACATTTGACAAAAATGCTAGTGACATCTTTGGAAAGAAAGATTAATGTTCCAAGAAAACAATAAGAACGCGTAGTAGTAATACACACAAAGGTGTTTTGTATTTTATACAGGTACTCAGGAGCTTATGCTGACCGTACATACATTATTACGTTCTTCACCACCTGTTTTATAATACCCTTATTGGTGATTTTGGTATCCTATGGAAAACTGGTGCAGAAGTTAAAAAAGGTAAGAAGAAGCACCCACAAGTAACCTTTTAAAATGCGTGTGCATGCAAAAGTTTGGAATTACTGTGTTTGATTTTCTATAAAGATCAGACATAAACAGGTCAGATCTGCAGGCAGCAGACATAGTCAATTACATCCCTTGTTATACAATTACCCTTACACAGAAATTCATGCTATGGTTAGAAGTGATGTTTTAAAGTGTGGAGTTCACATCACTTATCAGTACATCTCATTAGTCAAAATCATAAAAGTGAAAGAATGTCTACCTCATAAATAAATAGAATGATCCAGTACTGCTTTATTCCCAATTATGCTTCCATTCAGTGATATTTCATAAGACTCAAACCAGGCAAATTAGAATGCTGCTTTAAATGACTGCAGTTGTAAATTTTAAGAGTGCTGCCTACTACTTAGTAATATGCTCAAAATAAGCTGTAGCCTTTGCAAATAATGAAATGCGGTTCAATAAACAAAATATTAGATTGTCCAGGAATATTTAAAAGACTTAGAAATGCTTTTGAATTTTCTTTAATGGTAATGTTTACCTGATCCAAAGGAGAAGCTGCAAAATGTGACAAAGAAGACAATAGAACAGGAAAATTCCTATTTGGTCCAGGATTTAGGAACAAGATTTTCAGACAATATTGATATTTCTATTTACTGCAAAGCTCTGAAAAGCCAGTTCCTGCAACACATTCTGCAACTCTATACTGAATTGACGTATGATTATATCTCACAACTAAGGTAATTTCTAAGATCTGACTACAGAGAGGGGTCCAAGCACCAGGACTGGTGACTTGGTGTTCCCAACCATCCCTCTTTGTGCATTTTGTTCCACACTTGTCACAGTGCAGGCTTGTTCCTGAGTGGAATAATCTGCCCTTAGTCCCAGTGACCCCAGCTTTACAATGCTAATTGTAGCTTTCACTTCAACATCAAAGTTGATGAAAGAAATTAATCTTTGGGAAAATAACAAATTAGCAATTTATAATAGAAGTAAATTATTATGGCAGTATTCCTTTGTATGGAAGATAAAGCACCAGCATGTTTTTCTTTATCAGTATTTAGAGAGAAAGGAAAATCTGTATGTGAAGAAAAGACCAGGCTGATACAAGAAAAAGGTGAAACCTTTGCAAGTGCAATACAGAAGATTGTGTTCCTTTTCCAGGGGACTGCAATTCTGCTGAAAGGGAGGCTGGGCTGCTCTCTGTGTAAGAACAGCATACATTAAAAAATGCTATAGAAATCTCATATATTGGCAGAGTCTATCTTATGAGTACCAAACACAGCCTTTCTTGATGCCTAATAACTTGCAGTTATTGTAATAATTCTTCGTTGCTGTTGTTGCTGTTGCTGCTATGTTTATATTTGGTAAAAACTGATGTGAATTGCAACTTTCTACAGAGATGAGGACATTGCCCTTCCTAGCAGGTGCATCTATACCTCTTGAAGCACAAACATTGAATTCTCCGTGTGCAGTTCAATAGTATTAGGGAAAATGTCTCCATAGAGTTCTGACATTATTGCAGGAATTAAAAGGCCATGTTATGCAAACAAATCTTATTTTATTAGTATGTAATATTGCAAGACCTGACATCAGGTTTTTCTGGAGCCATACAGACTTACTAATTATTTCTCGTGTAAAATAACATTTCATAACAGCACCTTGTTTTGCTAAGTCATCAGAAACCAAACAGGGATGTTTCCAGAAAGACACAGTTTTACATCAGCTAATTTCTGTATGGACATCTGTGCTTAAGCTTCTTGCATGATCGCTGAGGAAAAGAGGGAGAGCATCCCTGCTAAATGCCCCAGTCCCACTTTAATTCAGATATCATTAGATCATAAATGCTCTTCTGGGGAAGGCCATCAAGCAGCACTGAGGCAGAGGCGCTCCCCTGGTGTGGATCTGCCCTCGGTGAGGAGCAGTGTGCTGTCTGTAATTCTCGTGCCAGACCCAGCTGTCTGCAAAAGCGCTTGAATTCAGCTCGCTATCTGCCCATGACTCACCATGATGTCCTTCTTTTTCACTTTGACAATAAAAATATACGGATACTTAAGCAAAGGAAAATTGCCTGCTGCTGGCAGATGGTGGTTGGTGTCCCTCAGCAGTAACTCGGGCTGCTGCACGTGGGAAGAGCAGGTCTTTCCTTCTAGCTCACCAAAGTCACTGCCTGGACACCCTGTTGTTGTTTTTCTCTTTTCTTAAAAGGTGTCAGATGCACAAGGCAGGCTGGGAACTACCAGGAGACCTGAAAGACAAGTGACTAGAATGGTTGTTTTTATGATCATCGCCTTTCTAATCTGCTGGATGCCGTATGCTGCCTTTTCTATCCTAGTCACTGCATATCCCTCCATTGAGCTGGATCCTCGTCTGGCAGCAATTCCGGCCTTCTTTTCCAAAACAGCTACCGTCTATAATCCAATTATTTATGTCTTTATGAACAAACAGGTACTGTGTGCTCTCAGAGTGTCTCTAACACTCATATTTTGCTATTTTGTCTTGATTTATAATGAATTATTTCTACCTACCTATGTGTTACATAACAAGCATTACAATATCCGGCATTTAGAATGAAAAAAATAATCTGCCTGGTGGAAGATAGTGTGAGCATTCTCTGAGCATTATTGAAATATAAATGTTGGTAATTATTAGGTTTAGGAAAATATATTATATTATAATATAATAAATATTAAAAAGGAAATATAAAAATATAAAAAATATTATAAAGGAAAATCAGCCCATAGGGAACATGAGTTAGCTTCCTGTATGAAAATTATATTCTCAAGACTGTCCCAATATATTTCAATAATTCTTTAAGAACGCAACATCATTAAGTTGATCTTGAGGTGGGGTGCACATTTTCAAAGCTTGATTTTGTCTTGGGAAAATGAGGCATTTGTGGTTCATGTGCAGGGGGGAGAAGCATTGCACATCCCATTTAACAGGGAGCTTTTTTCTGTGGAATGAGGGCAGAGGATTGGATGCAGAAAAAAGGAATTGACATGGGGATGAACCAGAGTGCTGTGTGCTTACAGTGATAACAGGCACGATAATAAACATGGGCAGATTTCTGCAATGAATGCAGCAACTGAAAGTGGTGGCATTAAGTTCATAAATTATATAAAGAAAAACAGTTGAGTGACTGTTGAATAAGAAATGTTGTATTTATTTATCCAGTCCTGCAGAGAGAGCTATTGCTTATCTCACGTCCTGTGGGCAGCACTCTGATCTCCCAAACCATGTAGTTGTGTGTTACACTTTACCCTGTTTGTGGGTGAGAACAACAAAAACCCATCTTTGAGTAGCCAGGAATTTAGTATATGAAAGCATGAGTCTAGAGAAATGACCAATCATGTCCATTAGATATGATTACCTAGAAGCAGAAAAGAAAAATTGTTTTCTAGATTAAGATTGGCTCTTTTCAGAACACAATTTTTAGGTTTAGAGTTCTTTGTGGTGGCATAGGCAAATCTATTTTATAGGGTTATTTCTTTATATTCCCAGCTGATTCATGAGAGAATTTCCAAGACTTTCAGCTAATATGCAGATTGATTTGTAGAATTGTATTTACCTTTCTTATGTGTTTTGACTGATCTCCCGTTTTTTTACCTATTTAGTTCAGGCAGTGTCTGATTGAATTGTTCAGCTGTAATGCCATAGGAGCTGCAGAGTCCAACATGAATCTGACTTCAGAGAGAGCAGTGCTAACCCAGGACAGGAGAGGCAGCCAGATGGCCCCCATGGCAGCTCATGGCACCATTTCTAAGAGGAAAAGTGGAGATGGTCACAGAGGCCGACAACCTTTGGCTCCATTGACAGCTTCAGAAAACAAAATGTGTCCCATGTCGAGTGGGAGATGGGGTCACTAATGCAATGCTGCAGTGTATTTAATGGTTACAATCGCCTGATATAAATCTGTGTTGTCGCTGGGGACATTGTGCTCCTGTGGACTCGAGCTTTTGGGGTGCCGGGCTCCTCAGTGTGTGCAGGAGCTGCTTGGTCTGGGGGTGCAGGCACACATCAGCCACAAGGTGAGGGAGTCCCTCCTGCCCTGCATTTCTCCTCCCAGTCCTCAGCCAGTTTGCTGCAGGTGGTGGCACCCCCGCCTGCTGTGTCGCTCCCTGCACTCCCTAAGTGCTGTTTCTGCTCAAGTCACATCCTCACTGCTTCCATTGGGCTGCTGATTCCAGAATGAGTTATTAACTCATTGCTACACCTCTGCTTTCAGCAGCAAGGACTGTAACACAAATACCGCTTCTGCAAACAGTGAAAACTCATGGAAGTTGCCAGCTTTCTGTGTCTGTATTCCATCTCATATTTAATTCACACAATGAAGTGCAGCAATATATTTAGCTTTAGTGGAATGTCACTTGCACATGAAAAGCCAAACCAGGTTATGAGTGTAATAAAAACAGACTTCTGTTTTACAAAGTGTTTGGGATCATTGTATGAAATGTTGCTAAGAACTAAGCTTGTGCTAAGGCACATTGGAATTTTAATCCTTTATAAAATCCATCTTTAATTGAATGCATTTTAGGAGAAAAGGCAAAGGCTGACTGTATTTAAATGCTTTAGAAGGGAAAACCATTATTTCTGGAGAAGACATTAGAACAATGCCAGCTGGAACAAATGTCGTTCCATAATGGTATAGAGAAGCTACACTAGTTCCACCTCTACAGGCCTTAGCCAAAGAAATGTGATATGGAATGAATCATCCATGGTTCAGTTTTACTTCCAAAAATAGAATTATTTTACACAGAATAAGTAAATCATGTTTCTATCAGATTTTTTTTCCTGCTTTCTGTTAAGTTGATGTTGGAAAAACTATATTGCCTTGAAAGAGTGGGACTACCTGAGATACCTGGGGTCAAAGCTAGTCCCTGAGCAGTACCTTGCTTGCCCTGATTTCATTTTGGGATGGTAAGAGCCAAAGAGAGTAGTTAGTCTATGAATAAAATCATGAGCTGCAAAAGACTGTACAGTTTTCCTATTAATCTCACAAAATTTCATGAGGTGACTGCCTTTTAGAGTGTAATTTCGGCTTGAACTTTTGCAGGCCTCAATCTTAAACACAAATGTTGATCCTTATTCTGACAGGCACATTCTTTAATCCTGTGTTATCTGTAGCAGAGCAATGAGCAGATGTGTATGCCTTTTTAAAATGTTTTGGAAATACTGCAAGATAGGAAGAATATGGTATTCAGTTATTAATTCTCTGCACCTTTTTGTGCTCATTAGCCTGTTAAAACAGCCAGATATGATTTGAAAGTGAAAATTCTTGCATTTAAGACTCAGATTTTTCTCTTTCAAGGATATATTGACCTAGGTTAATCACAAGTTAATGGTATTACATATATTAAATCATGAAGAATTGGCAGAAGTGCTAGCATTTAATTAAAAGCAACAGAATTATTTTATCTTTGGAGAAGGTGAGGATATGTAAAGTACAGCACTGTAGTACAAAATAAAGCAACAAAAATTAGGTAATCCCAAAGAAAAAAGAAATGTAGAAAAGCATTGAAATGATGTAAAAATGTATGGAAAGCAGTAGAAAACAGCAAGCTGTCTCTATGAGATGTAGCCATCTCTGATAGAAACAAGGAATAATAGAATCAATGGGTATTTTCATCTTAAAATGTCTTCAGTAATGCTTTTCAGGAGGAGGAGGATACCTTTTTCCCTACTTACTGCTCAGAAAATACATTTTAGAAAGTGTGAACACCTTGGCACATTGTCATGGTGGGCCAACCAGAACAGTATCAGCCTGTGAGCAAAATATTGCAGGGCTCCCAGGAGCTGGTTGTTGTCTTTCGATGTAACATAATAAAAATTTTTTTAGAACTACGGGCAAAACTAGGGGTTCAGAGTTGTGCATAGTGACTAAAGGGACACATTTTTGCAATATGTGTTAGGAGCATGACATGAACATTTTACTGTATACAAAAAGTAACTTAGGCAATGGATGGTTTTAAGACCTTAAGATTTCATGAATAAAAGATGTTAACACTGCCAAAGTCAGCTTGCTACACTTGATTGGGAGCTAATGAACAGCATCTTGTATCCTTGAATTTTCATTTTGCCACCAAGAGTGTGGCAAAAAATTCTCTTTAAAAATTTTTGTTTCATTGTCTATTGTTTGCAAAACTAGCAATGTAACAGAACACCACTTTCTGCTTTGTGATCATTGCATTTTAATGATGTAACCTGGAGAAAGATATTGCCCTTCCAACAAATCTTCCATGGTATAGGGGGATAGTTGCTTTGTGGTTTTTTTTTTTTTTTTTTTAATGTCAGCAATACTTCATCAATCTACTTGTTTGTATTGGAAATAGGTTTTGTTTTTTGTTTGTTTGTTTTTTAATATCATTTGATGGTTGCCATAAGACTTACTGTAGTGTTATGAGGTCATGTTTGCTCCTTTGGTATAACAGTAAGAAAGGCACTGACACTGAAGTCTAGCTAAATGATTCACTGAGTGAAAACCAGAAACTATGGAAAAGACAACAGCAATCTTAAGCCCCTTCTGGTGCTGGACATCTCATGTTTCAGCATGAATTAATCTCTCCTTTTAGGTCATGACATGCTGCCCAGGAGGAAGTATTCCAACCTTGTTCTTGACATCTTTATAATATGTCCCAGTGCACAGAGTTCCCCTCACGTGCCTGCACAATGCTGGGCTTTCCAGCTGGCACACCGTGGTTCTGTCTCACTAGGAATGAGCCCACACAGGTGCATTTTCAAGGCAGGTGTATCCCGACATCCCGGCGGGTGCACAGGGTGTGGAGGGGTCGCTCAAGCCAATGAAGGGGCCTCTGTTCAAACTCTGCCCAGGCTCTGTCTGAAATCACTTTCTCCTCATTTCCATGTCTGCTGTGGCTCACCAGAGCTGCTCTGCATTCATAGTTGTGTCAGCTCTTCCTCGTGGAAAAACTAACACACAAATCTCTTGTTAAAGTTGTATATCCTTGAGAAAAAACCCTGAAAAAACAAGTGTATTTGGGCATGGGGGAAAATGTTCAAAATAGCTTTCAAAAATCATTTCAGTAAGAGATAAAATACTAAGGTTTGAAAGTACATTGTCCAAGCTATTTTTCATAGCCTCAAATTTAAAGAAAGGATATATTTTAAAAGGTCATAAGAGCAGCTCACCTCATCATCCACTTGCAGGTATGATGGTGAAAGCTTAGGCACTGAATGTAGTGTTGGTGCACTTTACAAAATGTTCATGTTCCTGCTTTGACAACAAACAGCACAGCTTCTCTGGGGATTCCTTTCTGCTTTTTGAAGATACAAATGTCTTAACATACAGATTTTGATTCTCCTAAAGCCACATGTACTGCAGAGCACTGCTGGAGGAGTTCTTGTTCAAAGTGCAATAGCATGGAGAAGGGCAGAGATTGTTATTGAAGATAGCTCTACCAGAAGTTCACCGTAAACCAGATTATTCCATCATAGGCTGGATGCAGATTAGCTTCTAAATCATCTATTTGTATCACATTATAAACAGATAAATTAATGTAACATGATAAAGCTATTATAATTGCTCCTTTTGCAAATATTTTTGCCTTGTGTTTTGGTAAAAATGCACTTAACCACATATCTGAGTTTCTTTTGCTTTTGAGTGATAAGACCTTGCCCTTACCCACACTGAACCTTTATTGCCAAGGGCTCTAAAAGCAAAAATGCCACTATCAATCAAACCAAGTTTGAGAAACACATTTTTCTCTATTTCTGTTTTTGGATGAAATATTAATTCCTGCCTTTTTTTTTTTGTTTGTTTCCTGATTTCTCTTCCATTCATTTCTTCACTGTGTTCAGAGCAACACCTCCAAAATAAAACACTTGTAATGTTCTCCTTCTGGTTGCTCTTACCTGCAGATCTGAAATCCCACTCAGAGGAGACTCCTTCCCCCAAGAAATGCACTTGCAAAGGAGAGAAGGGCTTGACAGTGAGGTGAGGCCTAAGCTTAAGCAGGCTCAGCATTTGCCTATGTTTAGAGTGTCCATGATGTTCCTCCACCACTATTCCAGCCTGCGTGTTCCCACAGATATACACAGGACAGATATATTTGACATATTTTTAAACAGTCTAGCTAGAGGAATAATATCCATATTATATGGCTAGAACATTTCTGTTTAATTATGACCTCAGTGAAACTGATTATCCAAGAAAACAGAGTCATGAACATTAACAATAATTCTCATCTCAATTATTAAGAAATATAATTTTAAATGATTGGTGAAGAGAAGATTCCTAGAAAATTTATTATAATGTTCTTTATTATAATACTTAGTATTATAGATTGTACTATTTTTTCTCTTTATTACATTATATTGAAGTCTCCTTTCCTATGTCACAAATAGTTAAAAATCTGTAAGAGAATTTAAGGGCCTTTCAGCAATTTGGCACACCACTTTTATCTCAACTATTATCTAGCTGCATCAAGATATTAATGTAGTCATCTCTCTTTAGTCTCAATGAATTACTATAAAAATGTCAAACAATTAGATTATATTGGCCAACACAGCCCTGTTTGATTGAGTGCAGATGTAGGCCATGTGCCTTGAATCACACTGATGAAAAAGCAGAAGGGTTTGTGGAATTCCAGTGCAAATTTATTTCAACGTGGATCCCACTTCAGATTCTAATGCCATCTTGCAATACTAATAACCAAAAAATGCTAAATAGGTATTTCCAGATGAAATAAAAGTCAGTGTCATTCAGGAGAAATACCAGTGAACTCTGTTAGAGGAGAAAAAACAGAAAACTATAAAACGAGCAAAGAAGCCAGTGTGCTGGTGCAGGCACAGATACTGCCCAAGGGCACAGATGTGACCATACCAAAGGAGCAAAACCAGCATTTCCTTTGCTTACGGGAATAGCAGTGCTTAAATTCTGTTTCTGCTGGGCCAGAAAATTTAGTATATGCTTTTGTGTCAGGAAGACAACCAGTGTATAGCAATACCTAGTTACAAATGTCTCAGTGTTGGCTTCTGTGCCGTTCTGGTGGCCACTAGGACTGTGTGTGGATTTTTTCTGCATACACAAATGGTGCATCCTGTTGCACATGTGGGCCCACCAGGGAGTGGCAAGGGACAAATCCTTACAGATGAAATACCTCTCAATTACCTGCTGCCCACACAGATAACACGTGAAGAAAAGCTAAAGTTATGCTGTTATAATTTAAAAGCTAGAAACAGCTTCTGTTCCATGTATGATAAAAATTCGGAAGGCAGTTATGTCAGTGATATTTTGCTACAGCAGACACACCATGAGAAAAGCACACTGGCAGTGTACCTCCATGGTGAAGTCTGCCTCAGCTGAAGGAGTCTGTTCCCACTGTGTGCCTGCACCTCTTTATCCGTGGCTGTCTGAGCTTCTTGAGCAGCAGGGCAGGAGAAAGCGTGCACCTGTGTTCTTACTGACAGTGACAGGACTGCTCGCTAATCTCCAGAAAAAAATAATGGCCCAGAGAGGCTCAGATGCAGAATGACAAGGTAGGAACTCTATGTCAGTACCATGCATAACTTTGGTTAAACCACTGTCAGGATTAACCAAAGTACATGTGGTCATCTGCATACCTCAGCTGCAGCAGACTCCACACTCAGTTTCTGCTCTGTCACCTACCTCGAGTTCCAGGCTCATGTAAATTCTGTGAGGACATGACAGAACTGCAAATATTTCTGAAACCCATTCTTTGTTCCATCAGGAAATCTTAGTTAATTCTCTTCACTGGTGTATTGACAGGCAATTAATATTCTGAAGTGAAGACTGTTGGCCTGCTACTTTTGAAAATGCTACTATCGTGTTCATGAAAGATCCCACATGCTCTCTATCACTGGCTGAGAAGTATTCCATCAATTTATCACCTGAATACCAATCTGGGTCTTCCACCAACCAGTAAATATTCCAGGGCACATAGCCATGCCTTCAATTTTAACTTGACCACATCCTTAAAACTCATGCTGATAACTATCTGTCACTATATCCACATGAAGACACTGCATTTGGAGACCTGAATTAATACCCAAAAAGGACTTTAAGGGATGAGAGACTTCCTGGTGACTTCACAGTGGTGAGCTGGTCCTTCATGCACATGCAAGAGAAGAAAGGATTTATACTCATATAGGATGGTTGAATTCCCTCTGATACCCTATTTTGGGAGAGCTTCCAGATCAGACGGTGCCAAAGCACCGGCTGGAAGGCTTAGGAGGTTGTAAAATCACAAAATTAGTGTTCAAATTCAAGATGAATGGTCTTAAATAATGATGGGAATGATCTGTACACCACACTGAAATCTGCTCCAATTTCCCTGCCCATGAACACCTGCAGCAGCAGCAGCTGCTCTGCTTTGGTGTCGGCTCCAGTGCATCCCTTGCAGAGCAGGGACAGCAGCACCAGCCACAGCAGCTCTGCAGAGAGGGACACACAAGTGCCATGAAATCCTCGAATCACTGCTTAGGGAAGGATCATTTAAAGAGGTTAAACCAGAGGGACTAACCAGAGATTCTCTTATTTTTGTTTGTTTTATCATTTTGCAGCAAACTTGCTGCAGCTTTTTACTGCAGACTATTTAGAACCACACACTTTTCTTGGACAGCTATGTACAACTCAAATGACGTTCTTGTCCTAGAATATCATCAATAAATTCACCATGTTTTTTTTCTTCCTCGCATTTTTCAGATTACATAAATTTTAGCTGACCAATTCTTTTCATGCTAAAATATATTATGAAATGTCATTTCTGTTATAAAAGCTAATTGATAGTGTGATTTGTTATGTTGCTGAGACATAATTCAGAAAGTTATTTTAAAGCCCTTGATACATGGAATAGCACTAACTGCTTAATATTTCTTGTATGAATGAATACAGTGCATAGGAATGATGTAGTGCCACGTAGATGAAATATTTTCAGAAGCTCTTATTCTTGTTGTTTGGGCTTGTGCCAATGTCATTCGACAAGAGAACTCATACGTCCTAAGGTGTATCTACTGTAATTTATTTCTGGGTCATTAGTTGGTAGGATTTTTCCCCTCCAGGTTGCTCAACACTGTGCAATATTGTAAAAATAAGAGCTTATAGTCAAATAAATGAATACCTTGGAATTATTTTTAAAAATCAGATAAGTGTTTCAAATTTTAAAATATTTTAATTTAATATTTTTATTCCATTAAAACAATTGACTGATTAATATAATAAAAATAATTTCTCACCCTTGTGAAAGTCCAGATGGAGAACTGCATCTAGCTCAAGAGTCCCCAGTATAAGAGCA